GGCCAATGTATACAAATAAATTTTTTTAAGCCGCATTTATGCGTTGGCTTTTATTTAATTTGCATTCATACCCGGCCATTTGCATAGGTCAGCGTTGAATATAAAAAATAAAAATAAATGCGAAAAAGTTCACCCTTTTGTGTGCGCTGTAAAATCAACAAGCTGGGAAATAAACTGAAGCTCAAACTGAAGCTGGACTGGGAATTGAATTGTCACAGCTGCAATTTTTCAAATGTCAAATCAAAACAGAAAACCAATTACTTTCAATGATTAATTACCGCACTCGAAGGCGCTGTGCCTAGCCAACAAATGTTGAAGACCGCAGAATGATTTTGATTGCGACCGGGTTGGGTTTTGATTTATGATCCGATCAACCCTTTGCTGACAAGTCCCCGATGTGATGGGCCACCCTGCCTCATCCCTCAGCCATCGGCATCTCCGCAGGATATTTCCGTGAACTTGCGCTCCTTCTCAACATGGAAATCACCTTAAAATTCATAAGTTTGCGGGCGACGAAGTAGGCAGAAACCGCAAGTAAAACAGCAGCTGCATGTCATTAACTATATGGAAGGTGGCGGTGGCGGCGTCGTCGTAATCCTCTCCACTTGACGCACAACACGGCGTATACGTAATGCCACCAACACGGCGTATACGCAACGCGACCAACTTTTCAACGCTTCATTTTTCGAACATTTAGGAGCCACACTTTTGGGAGAGTGCGGTGTGACACCTCTTTATCCTAACTCGGTTTTGCTTTCCACACACACACCCCCACTCAACTTGTCTCTTTCAACATTATTATTTTTGTTTTTATATTTTTTCTATTTTGGCTGTCGTCAAAGCTGCGGATTATGCGCACAGAAAATGAGAGTTTATGTATGAAATTATGCAAAACAGGCCGGCAGACGATAATCATGATGGTTAGAAATCCTGCGGCTGATGACTCCTTAACCCGCCAAGGTCCTGTCCGCTTTTGTTCCATTATAAATGCAAGTTGAGCGATTATGATGATGATTAAGATGAAAAGTGAAATTTTCTGTATGCCTGCATGGAAATTTCATATTTTAATTACAATTTGCTTCGGCCGGCAGTGACCCAAATATATATATTATATTTGTACGAGTATTACGAGTATCATGTAGGAAGAAAGGGTTCTTTCAACCCTTTTTTCTTTCGTTTTGTTTCGAATCCTCAGCTGCATGCCTGGCTGCATAATTATGTTGCCAAACTGGTTAGCTGACCGGCAAAAAAATAAACTTAACAAGAACCAGCCAAAGTTGAGCGAGGAGCCACGGAACCCCTGGAAGTCTTAACCCCAACTTACTTGAGCATGACGAATGGCTTTGTTGAGTTACCACCACTTGTCCCAAGGATTTTATTAAAAATTCCTTAGACACAGGTGCAGTTTTTTGGGGAAAACTTTTTTCAATATGCCTTTTTGGCAAATAATTGGATGGATGGTTTTCAGCCCGCTTTTAACGCTGATAAAACCTGTTGTCGCAGATTAAATATTAATGGCTCCCATTAATATCATCTTTGGCCGTCCGAAGCCAATAAAATGTGCCTAATGTCGCGATATTTATGGCAAGGAAGTTAATTTATGCTCGAAGCGAAACGAATTACCAATCGATACTAGAACTTGGCCATGTAATTACGCAATGATTTATCAGGCAGCTCTTAATAAACGCTTTTACTGTTGACTTTTCAGGGAAAGAACACTTTTAATGGAAACCTTTTAAGAGCGGAAGTAGCTGCGATTTGATATAGTCGTCGCCAGTCCCCCGATAGGGTTTACTTTGCGGTTTTTCTGATTGACAAGACATTGGAGCAGGTGAAAAACAATAGCGGCCCGGAGGTAACTGCTCAGGTGGCTACAACTTACGTGTGCCGTCTTCTTAATGAGAAAACAAATATCAAGGTACTTGGATGCATAAATCGATTTATTTCAATGGTTAATTATTTCCGGGAAGATTGAGGTTTTATGTGCGAAAACATATTGTTTGATACATACAAGATTTTATAAAAAATTTGAACAATTACTCAGTACTAATATTGAATAGAATTTATATTTTTATATAACATTCGTTAAACATTTATTTTACATTATATTATTCAAGTTTCTGTTAATCATTTAAAAACTTCAAATGATGTTGAGTTGGGCCAGAATATATTTAGTTTCTTATGCAAAGAATTCATTTTAAATAATAACCCTTATTCTCTCAACCTTTTCCACGATTAGTTCATCATACAAAGTATTTCAACATTAATTTCAGAGGTAAATAGAACACCTAATTCCTCTTATTTTGCCAAAAGCATCCAATTTAACTTTGGAAATTAATTCGGAGTAATGCAATCTAAAAATTGTAAATCAAATTGAAGGATCTTCCATCAAACTTACCCTATGCACGGCGGCATGTAAATCGAAAATTACCAGAAATTGTCACTTTACATCACGCCCGCTGCAGGACCAATAAATCATGCTGCACACACACACCACACACACACACTGTCACACGGAAGCACAACACACACACTCACTTGCTCTCTGGCCTAGTGTCCTTCGGTTAGTGTGTGTGTGTGTGAATATTCAAATCAGTGAATAAATGAAATTTGTTACAGGACTCGCGGCACACTCGCACACACACCCCACTCACGCACTGAAATTGAGTGGCGAAATTTCAAAGGGTGTCCGTCGTCGTGTATTTAGCAAATGAACCGTTAATTTAGTTGCCAAAAGGTGCCCAGTTTTCCCGGGGTTTTTCCCGCTGTGTCCTGTAATATTTTCGAATTTGCGAGCGGTAATCAAAGTTTACAAACTATGCGATCAGCGAAACGGAATTAAATTAAGTGCCAGATGAATGGCGACTTCATTACGAGTTCCACACACTTTGGCTGCCAATTAACTCGCCCGAATTTAATTAAGGCTTAGGTCCTGATTTGTGGCGCGCACTAGATCTCAATCTTGACGAGCAGGCAATCCTCCGCATACGGTTTCAACTACGTAAACGAGTCTTTTGAGTAACACTCAGAGTGCTGCGAACAGGGCCACCCGTGCTGCCTGAACTTAAAACGAATACTGAAGCCACCGGAATCGCGCGCTGAAAGTTAAACCCGAAGTCAAGAACGGCTCGAGCTTCAAGCGTTGGCCAACAGTGTTGGCAATCATTTTCCAAAGAACAAATGATTGAGGGAACTTTACAAGAAATTTTATGAAACACAATTATTCAAAAGATTTAAATATTTCAGTTATCACTATTACCTTTTCTTTAATTAGGTTCTTGGACAGTTTTTTATAGATTTGAAAATGATTGACAACGCTAATCGTGACCTATATTTGCTTTAAGTTTTTATATATATTAAAATGTATATAAATATTTAAGAATATTCAAAATACTATATATTATTGCGTTATTTTTGATTCTATTAATTTATTTAACTTTAATTAAAGTCAAATTTGTCGGGAAATATCCCAACTTGTCCACACTGGTTCGAGCGACAACGGTCAGTGGAACTTGCAACATGTTGCATGGTGCTTTCAAACCCGAGTTCCACCTCGGCGATTCTATGTTTTTGAGTCCGAAGCTCTGATCTTGGCTTTTGAGGCTCTGTTTACTTTAGAAGATGCATTGAATATTTAAAATATATTAACAAATTTTTTTATGACATTAAATTAGAAACAGCAAAAAGCTTTTTAACTGCATATTTTATTTAGTATATAATTAACATAGTATTATTAAGGAGAAAAGGAATCAGACACTATAAATCAATTGAAATATTAAACTCTCTTAGATGAAGTTATCGACTAATAAATCTGACAAATCTAGTTGTTAACACTAGTTAGTATAAAACTATTCCACATTTTTATTGAATCATTTTTATTTCAACATATTTCCAAAGCTGTCAGACATAACAAACCTAATTTTTAATATTTATACTCTTTAATATTAGTTCTTTTAACAAAAGAAAGAAGAACTGCAACAAAATATTATAAGCTTAGTGCACAAAAAGTTATGTGTGAAGTTGTCGGCAACAAAAGTCTTCTTTTAAACCCACTAGAAGTTTTGTGGTTGTTTAATCTACATCTGGTGTGGTAAGAAATATGTTCAGGTGGCTTCTTTAGCCTCTTGTTTGAATTTTTGGTGCGAGCAACTCACCTGCTAAATGCTTAAAGTAACACCACCATAAGAAACTGTTGCTCTGTCATAACAATAAAAAAATGTATAAAGAAACTTATCCGAAGTGCAACATCCTCTTGGGGCGACAATGCAGTCGAAAAGTTTCAGTAGGAAAACTAAAAGTCAAATATAAGATGGCAGGCAACTTTGGCCATAAAACATGGCACAAAGCCGCACACACACACACACACACACACACACACACACACGAGAGCCGGAAACCACCGAAAAAAAGAAATGGAAACCTTGAAGAGGTGGGGCCGTGGCAAAGCAATGAAAATTCCGACCTACCGCAATAATTCCGCGGGAAAGCAACGCGAGAGATGCCAAAATGAGAGTGAAATGGCCAACACACACACTCGCACGCACACTGGGCAAAGGAAAAGGAAAACACACCCCTCGGAAAACCTCAAGAAGGCACAACGCACACAGGGACACCTCAGGCACGGCGCCATAAATCGCGCTTAGCCAAAACAAAGCATAGCATCGGGGTCCAGGACATCAGACATCAGGATTCCGATTCAGATTCGGAATCAGTTTCGGTTTCTGCTGTGGACCGAAATCCTTTGACCTGACACAATGCTCCACATTCGATGTTTTTGGTTCGAGTTGGAGTTGGAAGTGCGCCTGCGCCTTGATGTCCTTTGAGCGGCCGAACAGCTGTTCTAGGCGAGACCCTTACCTAGGACAACATCTGCATCCTTTGGGGGAGTTAGTCTAAGCGGGCCTGTGGGCTAGATCTCTAGAATTTTAGAATCCTTACAACTACTACCTATGTTTTAAATTTATTTTATTTTTTATTCTGGCCTTGTTCATTCCTTAGGTAGAGCTTAGTTGTTAATGCTCCGCCAAGGATAATGGCTTCTAACAGCAACACATTTCTCCAGCATTCCTTGATACGAGTTTAATATTAAGCTGAGTACACAGGGGAAATTAGTATAAAATTTGAAATATTTCAAATATCTGCAATCACCAATGATCTAGGGATCTTTTCGCTTTACATCTCAGCGTTGACACGTACTCGAGCAGCTCCTACACGGACTACAGCAAGGACTTCCGCCATCCAAGGGGACCAGGCAGCCGGGCGGGCAGGGTCCAATGTAGAAAGGGTCGAAACTGCAGACCAGCATTAAAACCATTTTGAAAATGTAATATTCAAACGGCACAGAAAGGGGAAAAACTCTTTTTATCCTTTAGCTGGGTACGTCCCGCCTTTGTGGGTGAGAAAGGATTGATTAAATTTAGAATCCGTTAAAAAGAACATTTTGAAAACGTACTGAATTTTTTTACTGCTGATGAAACGCGTTGAAGTTATTCCTTGGCTTGGAATTTTGAATTTAGTTGCTCATACTATTTTTTTTTTTTTTTTTTTGTGTGTTCAGGCTAAACTGTAAGGACGGAATGAGCTTTCTATGTTTCGATCACATAGAGCTAAACAGAAAATTGAAGTTAGAGCCCAAAGCCTACTAGGGATTAGAAATATCTTTTTAAATTTAAAACTTAAACTTATAGTTTGATTCTTTATCTGGTTAGCCAGGGGAATTACTTCTCATCGGAGTGATTTGCGGTAAATGCTCTGGATTCTTGGTTTGATCTTCGCACAGCGGTGCGCATGAACAATAACCTTAATAAACTTGTCTATAAAGAATAGTATCGAAATAGGATATACATATATCATATTTATATCCTTTTACAGAAAAATCCAAAACCAAAACCTCTTATTTGTTATACTCTTTTCTATTTCTTTTAAAATCCCAAGTAAATAGGAGAGCCAAAAAATATACAATATATATCCTTTTACAGAAATATCTAAACCAAACCAACCTATTTGTATACTCTTTTCTTTTTCTTTCAAAATCCCAACAAATGCCTTTATTATAACCTTTTTAAATAAAAAAAAAATATTAGTTTTTCCTTTAAGTTATTGCCTGAAAACATTCTTTCGTTTGGTAGGGAGTTTTGCGTTGTTCGCGTCTGCAAGGATTAAAATTTATAACAGTAACACATTTCTCCAGCAATTCTTAACAGGAACTTTGGTTTTAAGCTGGGAAAAATAGTGAAATAAATACCATTTATAAATCTCAAAATATATCTTTAATAACTCACCAATGATCTGCGACCAATTTGCTTCTCAACTAAGCGGCATCTCACCAGCCGCATGGACAGGAGCTGCAGCAGCCACCACAGGGCCCACAGCCACCGCAAGGACTGCAGCAAGGACCGCAGCCAGGACTGCAGCAGGGGCTACCGCCAGTCAGGGGACCAGGCAGCCGGGCGGGCAGGGACCCACATAGAAGGGATCGAAACTACAGCACAGCATAAGAACCATCTTGAGAGTTTATTAAATTGGGATCGTGCTGGAAATAGCCTGACTTTTTTAGGAGAGAAATTGTGACACAGTGCACTTTTATACTTTATTCCAAAATCTTACTATAATTTTTTAACTGCTGAAGAAACGCGCTAAATTATTCCTTGGTTTTAAATTTAGAACTTAATTTTTCATAGTTTTTTGTTCTTTATTCTACGAAAGCGAAAGAGATGTGTTCAAGCCGAACTTCAGGAATAGACTGAATCTCAATGCTTTCGAACTACAAAGGGCCGACAAAAATGTGAAGTCTCAGACCCATCGCCTACTTGGGACTACTACAAATTTTGGAGATTTCAAAGATGAAAGCCCTTGGTTTCTGTCGCCTCTATTACTCCTCTCCCGGGGGATCCGCCCACGTCAGCGTGTCATCTTGGTGTTCAGGTTCCTTCTTCGTGGCAACATCCTTATCTTCTTCGCTGGGCTTCCTTAGGCTCGGAGTCGGGGCAGGTGTGGTCCAATGACGGCGCAGGCTTTGCTTCCGATGCTTTGGACTGCCGAGCAAGTGGCGTTTATGTAATCACCCTCCAAGATTGGCTGCTCCCCTCGGCCGAGGTCAGCTGGTCCACCACAGGTCCGCCGCGGGTGACTAGGTTGGAGATATTGGCGCTGGTTTGGTCCGACACCCGGCCACTAATACACGACACTGAGTTAGCCAATAGCACGATCATGGCCACCACGCTCGCCACTCCGATGGCTAAGTGCACCTGATCCATTTCTAGGAAGAAGCGGAAGCGGAAGCGGAAGCGGGATATGGAGGAGGATCGATTTTAGGTTTCACAATCGACCAGGCTGACATTAGATACAAAGGCAACTCAATAAGTTATCAGCCTGTAACAATATGGTGTTCAGTGTCGGCGAGAGCTCTTTTTGCACTCTTAGACTTCAGGTGTGTTATCATTGAGCATTGAGCACTTCGCGGGGTGATCTGCTAGTAAGGATTCATGCAGGATAATATTAATTAGTCGAGGTTTCTTGTGGTTAGAAAGATCTCGAGACTGTTACATTATAATTATTAAATTAGGTTTTTAAACGATAGAGACAGCCACGGATGCCACAAAAGTAGCTTCAGTAGCTTCAGATATCTAAGTGCATTCCTTAAATATAGAATACGTTAATGAACACCAAATAATAAAAAAATCCTTTAGTTAATAGCAGCATCTTTTTATTCAATTTTAATTCGTGGAATCTTGATAAAGTATAAAGTATAATTTGTATATAAACAAGATGAAGACTTCTTTCAAGCCATTCTGCAATTTATTTCTTGACTTGACTTTTCGAGTGAAGACTAAAATCAGGCTTAGTTTGGTAAACATTCTTCCACTTATTTTACTATATACCAAAGATGAAATATCTTCGCGATGTATTTTATTTTCTATATAAACCGATTCCCAACAGTTTTAAAAGGAGATTCCAATTAAGACCCAGCTAAGCAGCGTATTTATTTCATATTAGACACATATCGGTAGCATTTTGTGTGGATTTAGGGTTTCTCCCTCCGGGTCTTTTGTTCCTGACTCCCCACTTATCCGAAACTATTTTGCTCCCTTTGCTATTTCTGCTCCTGTTTTTGCTCCTGATTTTGCTGTTCCTGCTTCTGCGGCTCCTGATTCTGCTGCTCCGGTTTCTTTTTTGACTCCCGGCGGGATTGCAACAGGGAAGCTGCGACTCCGCACTGCATTCCGGGTCGCAACAGGGCGGATCGGGGCCGATGTAGCCGGGATTAAACATGCGAGACATGCTGCAGGTCCTCAACGGAGCAGGGAACACGGAATACGCTTCTCGACCGGATTGCAGCGGAGGCAGGTGTCCTGGGTTCTCTTTTATGGATTTTCCCGAATTTACATAGATGCTAACAGGGTGAAATTTTTAAGCAGAGTGAACCAGGGGGCAGGCCCGAAAACTTCCTCATTTCCATGGGGGATTAGAACACAAAAGAACTGGATAACTAGATGCTCGATACGGGGAAGAGCTTAAAGAGCTATAGTTAAGCGGATTGCATATTGGGGGGAAGCTACTAATTAAACAGTCACTGGATAAAGTCATGAAATATATTGCGGAAAGGGAAAGTTAACTATATTAATTCAGGGTAAAATTAAACAAGTGACACAAAAACGATTTTTGAAAAGCAAATTACATTGCACATATTTTTCACAAATGTTTTTGGGTAAGACAAACCCTTTTCTTTCATGTAATCGAACAACAGACATATTGACCTCCCCAAACACACAACACAATACCTCCTGCCTGGCCATGGTTAGAGAGCATGCGGAATGCTTATAATTATTTCATAATCGGGCAACACTTCACATTTATGGTGACAAAAGCCTGCGGATAGACAATAGCCCCCTGCAGGCTATTCCGCCGGGGCTGCCACATCGAAATTGGGCCACACAAAACGGCCGCAGGCGCAAATACGGAATTTAAGTTGAAATTAATGAATAATTAAGCTGCGCCGGGCGCAGACGTTGGCCCAGAGCGGAAATGCGGCATTTGCATAACTAACACAATGAACTACATACTATGACTCTGGCCGTTCATAAATTAGATATGCAAATGCAAATGGAAAACTAACGGCACTGCTGCCTTTGTCAATTAATCAATCAATCAACGCAGCAGGCCAGCCGCGGAAATCACTTGCCGTCCGTCGTCCAGGAACTCCACACGGAAAGCTGCATCTCCATCCATTCATCCATCCATCCATCCGCCCATCCTTCCCCATCACGCATGCCAATTTCCGTACCACGGTTTCTGATTGCCCGCTAAGTTCGGAGCCCATCCGAGCCCCATCATCATCGGAGCAGTTGCGATCCGCCAGTTTTAAGGCGATGGCAGAGTCATTAGCATCAAAGGGCAACGCAACGGTGACACGACCAGCGACCCCTCCTGGCAGCTGATCCGCACAGTGGGCTAGAATCACGGAAGTGTATTGAAGGGGAAAGCCCACATTGATTACTGGTTATCAATGTCACATAGATGGATATTGATATATTTAAATTTAATATCTATATTGAAATTATCAACATTTTGTCTCTCGCTTATAAACAGTGAAGGACTCATTTCCGACCCTATAAACCATATACATATATTCTTGATCAGCATCAACAGCTGAGTCGATTTAGC